ACTCTGATCAACCACTCTGTTGATCAGAGTCTTTCTGAGTTCAGCAGGCACTGCCCTTTGCATTGCAAAGAAAGAATAACTAAGAGTAGCATGCTCAAATAAAACACCCACCTGAAGATAAAGACATTGTAATTTTGTGATGTTTCCAAAACACTTGGAGCTGTTTTGACCACAAGTTCTGGCAGAGACAGCACTTCAATGATGAAGTGCTGGGGACACTGGTTATTATGCTTTCACATATATGGGTACACGAATGTAAATAAAAATAAATAAAATAGAGGTGGGGAAGGAAAGAGTAAGAGCTGTCATGGGGGTTTGAAATTAACGGTCTATTATTTCAACAGGAAAGAAGAATAAGCTACGGGTGTACTATCTTTCATGGTTAAGAAACAGAATACTACATAATGACCCAGAAGTGGAAAAGAAACAAGGCTGGATCACTGTTGGAGACTTGGAAGGCTGTATACATTACAAAGTTGGTAAGTCTCAAGACATGGAATTCTAAGTTTGGTCTGTTTAACCAGTTAGAATTATTTAGTTAAGTTTCACTCAGTTTTTCCTATCACATATTGATGATGCATATGTGACCAGTTGAAGATGTTATTGGAACCTGAAATATACTTTTCAAAAAAAGTCAGATTGATGAAGTTCAAAAGTGCATTCAAAATAAAATCCTAGGCTCCAGTTTGAACATCTGTATCTACTGCCCTCCAAAGACCCAATAAAATGAATAAAGAAAAGAATAAAAGAATGAGAAAAGAATAAAAATGCCGTAAACCTGCAAAGACAAAGGGACCAAGAGAGGAGAATCCAGTAAATAAGGTGTTAATAAAACTGAACAAGAGTCGCTGGGTGACTGGAAACAGACCTAGCATACCAGGAAACGCTAAATTCTAAATCTGCGGTGAGGAAAATTATCAAAATCAAACCAATCACTCAACAAATTCCAGAAAGGCCCAGGAATCAAGGCCCCAGAGGAACTGGAAGTGAAGGTGGTAGTGTAAGGTGGGACTAAATATAGGGGAATTGTTGGAAAGTTGATGGGCAGCAAGTCTTCCAGAACCTAATCTCTACCCCTGGACAGGGAGACCAATACCCTTCCCCACTACAACAGAAGATGAAGGTTTGCACATCCAATTTGATGATGGGAATACTTATGAGGATGCACACACATATACATATACATACACACACATACACACTTCCCCTTCCGCTGTTTATCTCCCAAGGTGTTGGCAGCCATGATTATACTCCTAAGGAATAGGCTGAGAGATTTGTCTTTGGAGAAACTAAATGGCCAGAAAGAAAAGATGTACAAGTACTAACATTTGAAGTGCCATGAAAAAAGCTTGCTGCCTAACTAACCTGAAGTGAAGCCCACCAGTTGATAAGCCCACCTATACCAGTGAATGGAGAAATCCACATATATGAAGGAAACTTAAACAAGCAGAAAGAAAGGACATTAGAAGAAACAAGGATGATGAGAAGTAGAAGAAAATTAAAAAGAAAGAAAGGAAGGAAGAAACTATAGTAGCTTACAGAGATTAGAAAAATAGACAGGAGGACTCAGCCTTTTTGTTTTATTCAGATCTTCAATTGATTGGATGAGACCCACCCACATTGGGGAGGGCAATCTGCTTTACTTAGTCTACAGATTCAAAAGTTACTCTCATCCAGAAAAATCCCCACAGACACACCCAGAATAATGTTTGACCAAATATCTGGGCACCCTGTGGCCCAGTCAAGTCAACACATGAAATTAAACATCATACCAACAAGCCATTCATCAATTTTGAGTGCAGAATAAAAACATTTTCATGCATTCAGGGTCTCAAAAAATTTATATTCCATGCACTATTTCTCAGAAAGCTAATGGAGAATATATTTCACCAAAATAAAGAATTAAACCCGGTGATCGAGCAAAAAGATGAGGAAAATATCCAGAATGAAAGTGAAGAGAACCTGTGGAGACAGCTCTGCCACAGGCCTGGAAAGAAATCAGTCCCGGAAGACAATGCAGAGTTCTGGGAGGGATGCCTCTAAGAAACATAAAATGGTTCAAATAGATTACTTACTGTGTTTGACCACGTTGAAAGGCATTCACTAGCAGAAATTTTACATGTGCTTAGAGATAGATACATAGAAAATAAGGAAGTTAAAAAATGAGGAAAAACAAGAAAGGAAATGTCACCATGTAACTATTTACTTCAGCTATGAACAATAATAATCTAAACACTTGACATTGATTTAACCAAAAATTAAAAATATAACTATATTGAGGATGTAGAGGAGGAAGGAGTACATGTGTATGAGATTGGGGAGAGCTAGAGAGAGAGATGGTATAAGAGACTAAATCCTTTCCATATTATGAAGTCAGTAGATAATGTCTACAAATGAAAAAAATCAAGAAATAATATTATAAGCACATTATTTAGAAATCTGGAAATAAATTGCCAAGGAAGTCGTTGAAGGAGTTGTACGTGGTTGTTTCTAGGGAGCAGGAATCAAGAGTGAGGCAGGGACTTATTTTTCATAAGCCTTGTAGAACTATTTGACTTCTAAAAATATGTACCTGTAAAACTTGTTCAATCCAAATTTGATAAAAATAGGAAAATGTGTGGCGGTTTTTGAAATGAGTACTGGATAAAATACATTATTTAACATAAGGAATGACAATAAAGGAATGTCTGAGGAGCTTTAGACACCATCAGTTCAAAGGTATCCGTGTTGTGGTCTCAGAAAAGCATGACGCGCATTTGAAATCATAACCAGTTGAGCTGATCCAGTCAATCGTGTGTGTTGACTTAATGGAGGTTGAAGGCTAATCAAGTATATTAAAGACAGAATGTGGAAACAGAAGAGGCATGCTACAGAGGAAGAGCTCAGAAAGCAAGAATCTGGTCATTTATCCTGGCGAGAACTTCAATGTGTCCTGCTCTGCCAACCAGAGAGGAACTTGTTCTGAAGCAGCATCTCCACCTCCTTATCCTCTAATTTCATACTGAGTGACCTTCCCAGACACCTTGACACTAAAAAGTTGTTGGTGCTGGATACTTGAAGGTTCTGGTGCCTGAAAGAATATGTCCCACACTTTATTAATAATGTGTCATTTGCAGTTTAAAAAAAAAAAAAAAAAGCTCCTGACATTGCAGCACAGCTAATGGGCTTATTAATATGTATTTAAAGCAGCTTTTGGAAAAAATAAACAATTACTGTCTGTAAACATATGTAGCCGCAGCCACAATTATATCTGTATCACTCTCTATCTGTCATACTTAGCAAAGTGCCAGGCACATGGACATCAGTTAGGAAGTGTTTGTTTAAAAAAAGGAATGGGTGTTCAAAGGACACAGCATTATTCTCAGATTGGACCACATGGGGGAGTGGTTTTCTATAGCAGGCCCGTGGCAGTATGAGCTGCCATGTGCTCCACTCTGCATTTTTGTTTGCGAATCAAGATTATTTGGTAATTTCCAATAGGATATGCTAGAATTTTAATTTTCTCTTATTTTCAATCTGATAATCTGACAAAGTATAAAACATACATCTCCTCATTCTCATACCAAGTAAAATTCAGATTCATATGCATATTTGGACTTCTTTTGGAGATCATGGGCTTCTCTCTTGGAGAATAGGCCTTGTTTTCAGAGGAAAGCAATGTAATTTATAAGTGTTACCATGGAAGCAATTTTTAAAACTGCCTCTAAATATTTCTCTGATAAAGCTTTTAGGATTTCCTTTTGACTATTTTCCCTTTATTACTTGGCATTTGTTAGTCCAAAGACTTCTGGTGATCAGATTTCATGTACATAAACTAATATTATATATTACAGAGCAATAGAATTCATTGCAGAAAATAATGTAAAATTTCTGAATGTTATCTCTTACACGTACCTGACAAGTGTTTCTCAAAAACATCAGCTGCAAAAAACCTATCTGACCTGCAGATCTACCAGTGGCCCTTCTAACATTTCTGACATCTTCCTTCTAATCATTGCTATCTCTTTTCATTGCCCTGACACCAGTAGGCTGACCTATATTCACTCATGCAAAGCAAAATGTAAACAGTGAGCAGTGTCTGGTAATTAGCTATCAGAAAATAGAGACCAGCCTAATTTTCAGAAATGTCATTTGCCTCAGTTATCCAAATAACCACTTGCAGTCTCCATTTTGTTTTTCTTGTGGGATTCCAGCTAAGACAACACTGAGATCTTCTCGTAGCACATGATTACTGTAGCATACTCAAATTCCTGTGAAATTTTAAAGATATAAAATGAGAACAAAATGGAAAAGCAAATTGTATATCCAAGAGTCATTTAAAATATTTCCTATTTCCCTTAGCCTATAAGATAAGTTTTTCTTTTCAAGACTATCTTAAATTTTAATTATGGACCTTTTCCTAGGTTTCAGGTGAGGAGATCAGAGAAAGTAGTCTCATAAAGAGTTCATGTCATGAAAAGTTATAAAAAAACAACTAGAAACTTAAAATGTCATTTAAGTACATTAAAGATTTTCCTACCCAGTTTCTTTAGGATTCAGAATATTCTGTTAGTTCAGATATTTTATAAAGAAAATGACTGCCATGTGTACCATTTGTGGATGACAAATTTTCTAAGACTTAGAATCCACATTTAATAGCAAAAGATTCAAAGGTGCTTAAAGGGTTCTGTAATCTCTCAAGGTCATCAGTGTAAACATTGATCATTATTGTACCAGAGACACACAGGCCATAGTAATCAAGAGAAAGACAGACAACAGTCTGTTCTTCCATTCTTCCATTCAATAAGGTTTATTGAGTATGACTTTGTGTAGACAAAAATACAGTAGGTACCAAGTCTCTGTCCATGGAATTTAGGATGCTTAATATTCCATCTTCCGAAACAGTAAAAGGATTTGTCAAAGAATGTGGAGCCCTTAAGAATAGGTCATTACCAGAACCCAAGGCTCCTAACACTCCATCTTTCATTAGAAACATAAACAAGCAATTATTTCACTTAATAATTGGATTTCAAATCTAAATAATAAGCAAATGCAGCCTGTATGTCTACCCATCGGCTAATTTTTCAACCATCTTGCCATACCAGCTCTCAGCTACTTACATGTGGGGTAACATAAAAGCCAGGCAAGCTAACATGAAGGAAATCATACAGATTCTTACTACAATTAATATCCACATCTAGACCTAGTGATTAAAGACCATCCTAAGCAGTTACATCTTTAGGTAAAGAAAAGAGTCTTCAATATAAAGCAAAAGGCCCCATATAGTCTGTAAACCAGATTCACTAAGAGAAGCTAAATCT